GGGGGGGGGGGGCCCTATAGGGAACACAGTGGGAGGAGAGAGGGGGGCGGCTCCTCTCAGCTCCGCTCTCACACAGGTCACCCCTGTCTATCTTCCTCGGTCACACTTCCCTGTGGAGAGCTGCCCGTACCACCAACCATCCACCGGGTGCTCCGCCCCCTCCCGTTCATCTCACCTACTCCCCCGGGGACACCATTCGCTTCACCTACCTCCGCCGCTCGGCTCCTCACCCGAAACAGCCACCGAAGCCCGTACTATCCCCGCCCCTTCCGGTAAAGCCATTTCACCCAACCAGCAAACTGAAAAGTCAGTCCACCACTCCGAGCCATCCTTCCACTGGTGGCCAATAACAAAAGAATCGCTCGGTACGGACCAATCAGTGTGCCGCGTTTTCCCGCCCACCTCGCATAAGCTCGACTCGAAAAACACGCTCGACCAATCACTGCCGAGTACTCCGCTTCGGAATCCCCGCCCACATTCCCAGCACCTCAGGTAGGGTAGAGGTGAGCTGTGAGGTGACAGGCGGATACGGGGCGGTAAGGATAACGCGCGCTACGGGGTCGTTAAGATTTTTACATCGAGAAGAATATATGAAACTTATCAAAACGTTCTTTGTATGAATCTTATAATAGATATGTGACGGTAAAACTACAAAAATGTGATAAAAGTGATATATAACAGCACCAAAAGGATGCATAAAAATAGTCATGTGACAGGAATGACGGCTCTTGTTGCTGGTTGTACATTCAGAAGTCCATCTATAATCCACAAGGACGGCAACATCTTTGTTAGGACATCATCCAGAGTCACAGTCTACTTCCTGGACTGACATGATGGCTCAGAGAACACCGGACCAGGAATGTCGGACGAGACTAGGTAAATCAGCAGGAATAACAGACCAAGAACAATGGACCATAACCACCAGACAAGGGACATCATAGCAGGAATCCCAGACCAAGGACACTGGACCTGGAATGAGGAACTAGGAATGCCAGACCAGGAATGATGGACCAGAAAAATCATAGCAGGAACACAAGAAAAAAAGCACTGGACTAGAAACACCAGACCAGAAATGAGGAACTAGGAATACCAGACCAGGAATGAGGAACTAGGAATGCCAGACCAGGAATGATGAACTAGAAATGCCAGGCCAGGAATGAAATAGGAATGCCAGACCAGGAATGAGGAACTAGGAATGCTAGACCAGAAATGAGGAACTAGGAATGCTAGACTAGGAATGCTAGACCAGGAATGAGGAACTAGAAATGCCAGACCAGGAATGGGGAACTAGGAATGCCAGGCCACGAACACTAGACCAGGAATGGGGAACTAGGAATGCCAGACCACGAACACTAGACCAGGGATGAGGAACTAGAAATGCCAGACCAGGAATGGGGAACTAGGAATGCCAGGCCACGAACACTAGACCAGGAATGGGGAACTAGGAATGCCAGACCACGAACACTAGACCAGGAATGAGGAACTAGAAATGCCAGACCAGGAATGGGGAACTAGGAATGCCAGACCACAAACACTAGATGCCAGACCACGAACACTAGACCAGGAATGAGGAACTAGAAACTAGGAATGCCAGGCCACGAACACTAGACCAGGAATGGGGAACTAGGAATGCCAGACCACGAACACTAGACCAGGAATGAGGAACTAGAAATGCCAGATCAGGAATGAGGAACTAGGAATGCCAGACCAGGAATGAGGAACTAGGAATGCCAGACCACGAACACTAGACCAGAAATGAGGAACTAGGAATGCCAGAACAGGAATGAGGATCTAGAAATGCCAGATCAGGAATGAGGAACTAGGAATGCCAGACCAGGAATGAGGAACTAGGAATGCCAGACCAGGAATGAGGAACTAGGAATGCCAGACCAGGAATGAGGAAATAGAAATGCCAGACCAGGAATGAGGAAATAGAAATGCCAGACCAGGAATGAGGAACTAGGAATGTCAGACCAGGAATGAGGAACTAGGAATGCTAGACCAGAAATTAGGAATGCCAGACCAGGAATGAGGAACTAGGAATGCCAGACCAGGAATGGGAAAATAGAAATGCCAGACCAGGAATGAGGAAATAGAAATGCCAGACCAGGAATGAGGAACTAGGAATGCCAGACCAGGAATGAGGAACTAGGAATGCTAGACCAGAAATTAGGAATGCCAGACCAGGAATGAGGAACTAGGAATGCCAGACCAGGAATGGGAAAATAGAAATGCCAGACCAGGAATGAGGAAATAGAAATGCCAGACCAGGAATGAGGAACTAGGAATGCCAGACCAGGAATGGGAAAATAGAAATGCCAGACCAGGAATGAGGAAATAGAAATGCCAGACCAGGAATGAGGAACTAGGAATGTCAGACCAGGAATGAGGAACTAGGAAAGCCAGACCAGGAATGAGGAACTAGGAATGCCAGACCAGGAATAAGGAACTAGGAGCTCCTGACAAATGAATAAGGAACTGGGAGCTCCAGACCAGGAGCACTAGACTTGGAATGAGGAACTAGGAATGCCAGACCAGGAATGAGGAACTAGGAATGCCAGACCAGGAATGAGGAAATAGAAATGCCAGACCAGGAATGAGGAACTAGGAATGAGGAACTAGGAATGCCAGACCAGGAATGAGGAACTAGGAATGCTAGACCAGAAATTAGGAATGCCAGACCAGGAATGAGGAACTAGGAATGCCAGACCAGGAATGGGAAAATAGAAATGCCAGACCAGGAATGAGGAAATAGAAATGCCAGACCAGGAATGAGGAACTAGGAATGCCAGACCAGGAATGGGAAAATAGAAATGCCAGACCAGGAATGAGGAAATAGAAATGCCAGACGAGGAATGAGGAACTAGGAATGTCAGACCAGGAATGAGGAACTAGGAAAGCCAGACCAGGAATGAGGAACTAGGAATGCCAGACCAGGAATAAGGAACTAGGAGCTCCTGACAAATGAATAAGGAACTGGGAGCTCCAGACCAGGAGCACTAGACTTGGAATGAGGAACTAGGAATGCCAGACCAGGAATGAGGAACTAGGAATTCCAGAACAGGAATACCAGTTGTCATCAGAACAGAAGGTGGGTGTAGATCCTTCAATGGTGTTGTAATGACAACTGTCTACAAGGAGAATTCCCCTTACTTTTTAGAGATTTCATCTCACTTCCTGTTGGGTCTCTAGGACAGGAAGAAAAGGGACAGCTCCCCAAAACACACACACCGCAAACAAAAAACCTGAAGGGGGTTTGATCTCAGATATACTGGGATATGAAGTGTCTTTAAGTTCATTCCTCACCCTCTGGGGCACTAAACCCTCACAGTATGAGGGGGGGGG